CAACGACGAATATATAACATAAAATAAAATTTACTTAATAATTACAACAAAAGTGATGAGTTTCAACCTAAATAATTTCTGGTTGAAACGAGTTTCGAACCCGGCTCACACCGACCACAGTGCTGACGTAAAATCATCCTCAGTGTTACATGGATTATTATGGGTTAGAATTCCCTTGACATCGGGCTAACCATGAAAGGTTGCTTACCTTATGTAACGCAAGTGCAGGTTAGTCCCATCAAAAAGTCCTCCACAAAGGCAAATTTCTCCCAATACTTGATATAGGAGTTTCCTTCTCCTAGTCTTCTAAATTGGGTTCAAAATTACAAAGCTACTGAGTTGAACATCAGTAGTCGTAAACTCAAAATTGGGTCGACTGTTTAACGACTGTTATAAAATAAAATAAAATCTATCTGACTGGAGGGATAGAGCATATGCCTCCCAATGAGGTGAAGCAGATTCACATCTTAGCTGTGACTCGTTGTTAAGAATTCCCGTCTCGCACCAATCACAGTGTTGATGTAAAAATATCCATGGTGGCAGACGGATCATGGGTTAGAATTCCTTGCTGTCGGGCTAACCGGTGGGATGTTTTTATGATTTTTCTCTCTATGTAACGCGAATGCGTGTTAGTTCCATAAAAAATCCTCCCCAACGGCTAGTTTGTCCAAATGCTTTGTTCAGGAGTTCTTTTGTTTTCAAGGTTGGGATAAAAATTATGAGGCTATACAGAGTTAAATCGTAACTTAGAAGTCGTGAACTCAGAAGTCGTAAACTCAGAATTGGGTCGGTTGTTCAACGTCAGTTATAAAATACAATACTATCAATGGTGAGCAGGCTCGAATCCCAGCCGTTGCTGGTTGACAAGAATTCTGCTTCCGACAACAGTGTTGGCGTAAATTATTCTCAGTGGTTGAAGGATCATGGGATAGAATCTCCTTGCCATCGGGCAAACCCTTGGAGGTTTTTGTGGTTTTCCATGTAACGCAAATGCGAGTTAGTTCCGTCAAAAAAAATCTAACTAAGGCTAGTTTGTCTCAGTCCTTTATCCGGGTGTTCCCTTGTGTTCTGGGTTGAGTTCAAAATTACACGGATATGGAGTTGAACATTGGAAATCATAAACTTAGAATTGGGTCAGTTTCTCAACACCAGTTCTAAAATTAATACAATGCGAACTAAATTCACATAAGTAAGAAGATGGTAAATTTGACTGACGCTACCAAACCAAAAATCCTTGTTCGTTAAAAATTATTTCGTGATTGTAAACAATTCTTTCGTATTCCTCCAATCCAGTGGTCCACGGACCATCGTTTGGTGACCACTGCTCTTTAGAGCAGCAAGTGTTGAAAACCCAGCTTAGTATGAAGTAACAAAAGGAATGAGAATAATCGAAGCTTTCTCAGTTAGAACAGTTACTTTATTTCTTAGAGATATTCGAATATCAATCAACTTTTTCAATTAATTAGTACCTTTTATTCTTTTGAGTAACAACAATTTACTATTAATGGATTAATGTTAGACTTGAAAACACTTACGTTTCACCCCACACCTCTCCCTACGGCACACGAAGGAGAAGCGGAATACGGTTTTGTGGAGCCCTTGCCCTTCACATTGAAAGACTGGGGGAGTAAAAGCGAAAACACTACACATACACTTATATATATATATATATATANTCACACTATAGTATTAATATATTTTGCTTTGGCTATATTGATACAATATCAGAAAGCACTCTTTTTTGCGTATATAATCGTGTGAGCTGATGAAAAGATTATATCTTTTTTTTCCGGTTTTTTTAAATAAAATTTCATCCCTTTTTTTTATTTATACAGTGGTGGTCAAAAGTGTGGGCATTTTTTTAAAGTTTCATGTTTTTCAACTTTATGTGCTTGTAGAATATATTAATTTTCACTTCAATACAAACGTTTATCGAGTTTATTGCAATTTTATAAAGTTTTGACCGATGTTTTGTTGAAATTTTCCAATGTTTTATTGAAATATCATAATGTTACCATCGTGTTCCGCGAAACAGGAATGGCGCCGAACATAAGTCGCCAATTTCGCCAAGGGGCACCCTCAAGTATATTTTTACACCTAACTCACATGCTCACATCAAATCAACAATGCTGTCAACCGACAAAATATTTTAGTTTCAATCAGACAAAAAGCAAATTATATAATAAAAACATACGTAACTGAAATTCGAAAAATTAAATTAAGCAATTTAATTTTTTTGTCACATTGAATACTAATTAAAAAACAAATGTAAAATGAAATAGTTATGTTATCAATGATCAATAAACATTTTTGTCTGAATTGTTATAAAAATATAAGGTGAAAACAATAAAATTAAAAATTATTTACAATAGATCTCTGAATATTCACAAAACCTAGCTATGTACATTTTTCATTGAATTTTCTTTTCACATCATTTTGTGTACCAATAATTTGCACTTTTCTGGGAATTCCAATATTTGAATTTGCCCCGTTGATAAATTGAAGAAAAAACAAATTCACTGTTGATGTCAAAGCATTCACATTTTTTATATTCAACAAGATGTGAGAAAAAAGATATGTTTCTCAGATTAGTAATATTAAATGTTCATTGCAAAAATATGCTTTCAGTTTTTTTTAATAATATACAACATCTAGGTATTATTAATAGCTTCATGGATTGTATACACATGCAGTTTTTAACTGCAGTCATGAGTCAATGAGTTAATAATAAACCATTAACATTAATAAACCATTAACATCAGAACAACATTAATATGCCATGCACAACCATGTTATAACGTCAATGTAATCAATTTGAAAACCTCGGACCACCTAAAGTAAGAACTGGTTGATCTTGTAAACACGAAAGTGACCAAAATTTCGAACTGTTCTCCTGCCTAAACTATTGGTACCATTTTGCAGATTGCGGCTGACCGCTTTATTTACAAGGTCGATAAAAATACTCTCATAGCAATGATATTTTAAGTTACGAAATTAAACTAAAAAAGCGTTTTTTTTCTGAAAAAAAAAGGCATACTTTTTTTTCCGATGCTAAAACTTATCTTCCCTGAATCTAAGTTTTTCCTACACAAAAACGTAATTTCTTTGAATAAACATACCTTTTTTCGACTGAAAAACGTATTTTTCTGAACGAATTTACGTTTTTTCAACACCAAAACGTACTTTCTTTAAATAATCATATTTTTTTCGATTAAAAAACACGTTTTTTTCCCCGATTAAACATACTTTTTTCTTGACTAAAAAATATACTTCCTCTGAAAAACATACTTTTTTTTCCGACTCAAAATCATATTTTCCCTGAATAAGCATACTTTCTTTTACGATGGATACTTTGACTTTAAAAATATGGGAAGATAACTGCAATCTGGAAAATATGGTTGTGGCACTCAATTATGAAGCTTGTTTATCTGAAGATAATTCTTTCCTGAAAATTATTTATTATTTTTTTTATTTTTGAATGTACTAAAAATGGTCTACGCGTGCAAACTTTTAATCCAATTTAATATACGTAATTTTAAATCGTGAAGTTCAAAATTTTTTGGAAATTGGTCAAATAGTTCTTGAAATTGAAAGATACGACTTATCTGAGATAGCGAAATAGACAAAAAACATTTGGGGGAATTTAGTTTTTGATCGCAATCCTTAAGACCATATTTTCCGACTTGCGGCTACTACCCATATTTTAAAGATAAACAAGTTTCTTGAATATATTCAGGGAAAGTACGTTTTTATTCATGATTTCATAACATCTGCACAAATTAATTTACATATTTATCGTTAGTTATTACAAATCATTAAGACTATGTTTCTAAAAAACCGATCGTTAAATCAAAATATATCTCCTTTTTTAGCGCATTAATTACAATTTTCAGACATTTTTTAGAATTTCCGGTTGCTTTAATTTACTTTTTTGAAATGTATGAAACAAGAGCCATCACATGCTTTATTTCGGCAAGTCTTAAAAAATTAACATGTTGTTTGATATTCCTTATATATTTTATTCATACTACGTATTAGCAAAACAGCATGAGTTTAAAGCGTTATAGCAAATTTTAAAATAAAAGAGTAAACATTGTGTGAACATTGTCCAAAAGTGTACAAAGGAAATATTCATATTTTGCATTTTTTAGGAGTGATAAAATGTTTAATGTAACCATCCAACTGAACAAAAGACCCAATTGAAACATTATGACAACTTTAATTAAGTCAATAACAACACAACAATAGTAATGATAGTATTATTATTAATTTTAAATAAATAAGATTCAAATTTTCTGTTTTAATGGTTTTCGTCACAAAAATTTTCTTCATATTACATCTGTTAACATTTTAAAAATCTTTCTTAGTTTTCGTGAAAATAGTTGCGAGCTAATATTTTTGACTGGCTTCTACCTTTTGAACTGAAATTTCACGCTCTGCTAATAAGGATTTTTAAAGTTCTTTCCTCTAGGAAATTAAAAAAGCCATAGTTTAAGTGCCTTACACTTGTGTGAAGCAAAGCGAAAATATAATTTTAAACTAAAAAATACCATCTTTCGTGAGGAATAATCTGGGCTTTTGATCGGACAAAGTTCAATATTTTAAAAGTTACAAAACTTTTTTAAAATTCTCTAATATAGCGTTATTGTTCCACCTAGATAAAAATTATCAAAGTCACTACCTCGTTGTCAATTTTTGAAAAATTTATGAACCCAAATAATGCAGTATTGGAGCAAGCTTTTAAATATAAAAAATTGTAAACTACAAACGCTTTTCGTTTACACCAAATTTTGGCTTTTTTACATATTGACGTTTAACGCCATTTTCAGAATAAGCGTAGAGAGAGCTGACTATAGGTTAAACTCTACCTAACAGTCATGGGTAACTGTTGCAAATTCACAGCTGTTATGAAAAATATCATATTATTCGCAAAAAAAACATCATTTCTTACAACGACGGCAACCATCGAAAAACGGTTACATGTAGTTTTCATCCTCGCACCTGTTTGACACCCCCCTCTTCCAGTTGCTCAAAGGGAGTGGCTGGGTAGGGAATTAGGGTTAGTGTATGTTTATAGTCATTGTCATGCCAAGGGCTGTATGCAAATTTCGCCAATGTGGGGAATCACAACTTGGGGGCACATAACGTAAAAATATACCCCTTTTCTCCTGAAAGAATTGACTGCGCGTGCTCGAGAAATCGAAACTGCGAAATAATGGGGGGAACACTTCGTCCGCACTCCTAGCTAGTAGTATCGATATCATAAGTAGAAATCGATGTTTATAGAAACCCATTCCACAAACGTACGAGTTCTAAGCAAATTATTTTGCAATAGTATGAATCAAAAAAAAAATGTAGATCCTTTTCTTTCTGAAAATCGCAAATCTTATCCTCGTTCATTTTTCTTTGCTAAATTTAAAATGGCCTTATATTTCTTGCCAACGTCAAGAGGAGGAAAAAATCTAATATTAGATAATGAAATCTATTATCTAAAAAATAGAAAAAATGAATTTAGCTATTGGCGATGCCGAAGATTCCAACACTCTTGTCCGGCGCGTGTAACGTTAGTAAATGACGTTTTAAAAACGCGTGTCGGACAACACAACCACGAGTCCGCTGAGGGGCTAATTGCTAAAAAGGAATTTGAGGAAAATTTGAAAAAGAGAGTTGTGGCTGAAGGGACGACGCCTATCCCAAAAATTTACAAGTGAGTATCAACTTTATTTGTATATATATATATTAATATGAATTTTTTTTATATCTGGCTCGCATTAAAAATGATAGGTCACCCATGATCGCATTTCTAATACACGATAAAATATCTTAACTAATTAACCTATTAGACGCCAAAGCTCCCGCTATGGAAACAAACTCTTTATTCCAGAAATTCAATTATTTGTATTCGATTTTTATAATAAAAATAGATAAAATGTGAAAATAGTGGGTATTTTTCCATTCGCTTTTTTTAAACACAAAGCTGAAAAATATTAATTGCAGAAAATGCTCAGTACTAAGTTTTCCTTAATACCAGCTAATTCAAAATTTTATTACAAGCACTTGATAATGACTTCCAGTTTGTCAGTCCCGAAATGGGAGCTTTGGCAAGAAGTGTGGAACTATCAATAAAAATAAAACAATTTGCAAAATTTTTTTTTTTTGCTTAACATGTTCATTATTAAATGTAATAATTCCAAAAAATTGAGAAGAAAAAGAAATACATCGACATAGCGGCACACAATGGGTTTAGTCTTAAAATTAAATTATATCATACTTTTTCATGCCTGCATTAAATTTAGTATATGTTTGAGCAACTCGATATTAATTGAAAAATTTATTCTCTTTTAAGAGAAACGTCGTATTTAAAAAATCTCATTTTTAAAAAAATTTTTTGGAACTCATAAGAAAACTTCATTTTTGCAAAAATTTATGATACAAAATTTTTTAGGACATGAATACTTCGTCACTTTCTCCCAAAGAATGTTATTTTCTGTAACTGATACATAGAATAAAAAATATTTTTTTAAATGAAGGTTTGGATTATTTTTATTTTAAAGTTGGAGAAATTTTAATCAAATTTCTTTATACAATTGTCATTGATTGAAATCATTTGAAGCATTCAGCCTATTAAAATTATTTTTACATCAGTTATATAATAGATAACTTTGCTTATCTGATATATTTTACAGAGATATAGGAATTATTTTAAATATTTTAACAAATATTAAACCATTTAAAAGAAATTTAAATAGTTAATAAAAAAAAATTTTGAATAGCCAATATCCATTATAATTTTTATTTAATATTATAATTTTTAACTAAGGGTTCAGTGGTATATTGATTGAATTCTATATTTTAACAATCAACCTTGTATTACAGAATAAGTTCTTCCTTTTTTACAGTCACATAGGAATTATTTTAAATATTTAAGCAAATATTAAAACTATTTAAAAACAAATGGAAACAACTATTAAATAATAATAATAATTATTTTTTTCTTTTCATAGTTAAGATCTCCTTGATATTATAATTTTTAACAAGGGTTTTAGTGGTAAAATTTCCAAATTATCTTATTAGAAAATCTGAACTTAAATGAAATATAATTGCTTGATTTAAATCAAATTTATTGAATTCTATATATATATATATATATTAACAATAATGCTTGTATTACAGACTAAGACTAAAACATATCAATAATATTTGTTTTTTTTTAAAGAGGTCTGTCTAATATGGCTTTACCTAAGCTAATTCTTACTCGTACCTTCATTTTTAGCAGCTCTAACTCATTATCCAAAAACTTATTATACATCCTTATTTATACTATAAATAAATATTACACATTAATAGATGTTTGCTGGCTTGTCATGATTTTTTTGATCTAAGATTATTTTATTTCGAATTTCAATTGGAAAAAAATTTTAGAGTTGGAATTTTTAAGATTTCAAAATTTTAGCAAAACATTTGTATATTTAAAAGTGCATGCTTTTTTTGAAATAGAGTTTAACTTATTTTATTTCTTGCATAATTTTAGTAATGAAATTGGAAAAGAAGCTACCTCTGTGGAAAATGCTGCCAACATTCCATCGTATAACACGATAAAAAACAGACTTTATAAGGCAAGACACGAGATGAGGCCTGTTTTGCCTAAAGCCATAGAAGAATTACTTCTAACTGAAGAATGGTGCAGGATCAAGGAGAATAATTTCTTGCTTGTGGATGATGGAAGCGGAGATGAAAGATTTTTGGTAAATATTAAAATGAAAATACTTTTTATAAATAAAAAGATATATCAAGGAGTTGGTGAAATTTTAGCTAAAAAGTTAATATTTTGAGAAAAAAATTTTAAAAAAAATGAAGAAAAAATTGCTATTTACCTTTAAAAGCTATGACAAAATAAAAAATTGTGCAAATTTAAATAACATTAAATTGTAGTTCAAATGTATTATAAATTTGAATATATCATAACTTATGTGAGAACTTTCATTTAACAAGGTAAGATTGGATAATGTTTAGTCTACAATAGTTTCATTACATTGGGATACTATAGATAACACACTTTAAAAGAAACTTACAAATACAGAAAGAAAAAAAACAAATAGGTTGATTTTCTCTTATTTAGTAGGATAAATAATTTGATATCTAATCAGAAAATGATTCTAATTTACAAATATAGAAAAGATAATCACTATAAACAATTTGATACCTAATCAGAAAATGATACTAATCTACAAATACAGAAAAAGACAAATAGGTTGATTTTCTCTTATTATCTATATTTTTTATAATGTTAAAAAATTTTTTCTAGGTATTCTGTACAGCTGAGAATTTGAAGTTGTTATGTTCATCTCATAAACTGTGGATGGATGGAACATTTAAAATTGTACCACGGTTGTTTAAACAACTGTACACTATCCATTCACGGTTTATGGAAACTCAATTTTTTTTATTTAATGTCTCTTTAATTATTCAATTGTAACTACCACTAAAACTTACATTTCAAATTATTTATATTGAAAAAAAAAACATACTTTGCATTCCCTTTCAACAGAAAAATAGTATGCTATAAAAAATTGTTAATTTCAATCTTATTTAATAAAATTTTGAATTTTATTAGTCATTACTTTTTGCATTTTCAGTTACCAGTGACAACCCTGTAGCCCTTTTTTTTTTAAATATCTTTTAACATATTCACATCTAAACTATAAAGCTGAATTACCTTCGTCAAGAACCAGAGAGCAAACATATCATTTGATTTCAGGATTTTCAGAGTATTAGAATTAATTTCAAGTTTTTAAAAACAGCTTTATCAAATTAAAATTGGATTTAACCAACAAAAGAATTTTGTGTACAATTTTTTAATAATTTATACTTATAAATTTAATTTCATATACATTAAAACAAGCTGTCATTTTTACAATAATATTTTGGTTTGATTACCTTGGGGCAGAAAGAATTCGTTACATTGACCCTGCAAATTCTGTTGCCAGAGGTCCTAAAAAATAATCTTTAACAACTTGTTATTTTATATATTAAAAAACTGCTTCAAAAATTTAACCAATTTATTATTTTACCAATAAAAATTCATTATAGGTTCAAAGACTTGGCCTAGTAAGGCACTACAGAACTGATGAGCATATAAGAAGGTGGATCCGACGTATTGCAGCACTTCCTCTAGTACCACCAGAGGAAGTAAGTAACGCCTACCTTTTGATAAAACAGGAGGATCCGTCCCAATATGTGCCTCAAGCAATTGACATGTACACGTATTTGGATAAGACATACTTGAACGAGGTGGACGTCCTGTTTGAAAAGTGAGTTTTTTCATAGTTAAATTCAAAATTTTTATTTTAAGATTACATTTAAACCAAGTTAACTATCATTATTTAAGTTAGTTACTGATTTCAAATTTTAATCAAATCATGGATTGAGTAGAATGTTGGGTTCGTAATTCGTGTGGACCAGCCACCACTGAGATTTAAACCCAGATAGATTGGGTGGCAAGCGCTCTGAATATATAGCCATTAATATGCTTGTTTAAACTTGAAATAAACGTTGTCCTTTAATTTTATCGTTTGGACATCCAGCCCTGGCTGAGGTGTTAGGAATGCATCATATATGACAGCACTTTTACTTTCGTTACTTGTACCGCCGGTACAAGTAAAAAGTACATACTTTTACTTGTACTTTCGTTACTTTTTTAGGGAAAAAGTACAAGTATTTGTAACGGAAATGTCGGATGAAATCGTTATTTTTTTCTAAAACTCGGTAAGCTTTCTAAAAAAAAAATATTTATTAAAAAAAATTGCTTATGTTTTTTTTAATTTATTGATTAATTTAATGGATTTATTTTTAATTAACGGAAAGCATATAAATTTTCAATCCATATCCAATCGTAAAAAAATTATATGTGAAATATAATACTCCAGTACCTTCTAGTGGTGCGCTTATTCAGCCAAGCACATTCTAAGAAATTCTCGCAGCAGACTCAGTGACACCACTTTCGAAATGCAATTATTTTGCAAAATGAACTTCATTAAAGAATGTTACACAAATTGAATGCGTGGAACATGCTTCTAGAAAAATCTGATTATGAATGAAGGACATTCATTTAGCCGCATATTCGATCAAAAAAGTGCAAAATGAGGAAAAAGGTAATGGTGAATAAAAAAATTTTTAAGAAATTCAATATCAAGGGAAATAATATTTTGAACTAAAAATCAAGAAAAAGTTATGAAACAAGTAAAAAGATCTAATTTTACTATGCAATACAGAGTTAGTTTATGTTTAAAATTACCTTGACAAATACAAATCAATAATTCTCGTATCAGTGTTTAAAAATACTCAAAATACTGCCATAAATTGAAATACATCTAATTTTTGTATTTTTTCAGAAAAATTTGGAATCATTTCCATAGTGGGAATGAGAGAACCACAAATCACGTGGAAGGGTGGCATTCTAAATTGAACAGAAGAACCCAAACCCACCACCTAGATATTTTTTCTATGATTACTTTACTGAAAGAAATCCAGGTGGAAGATCAAGGGAAGAGAAATATGCTTATTGCAGGTCGAGCAACCCCCCAGAAGCAGCGAGCAGCATACAAAATACTAAATGAACGACTCAGTGGTCTCAAAGAAGAGTTTACGAGAGGGACACGGACCCTGCCAGCTTATATAGATGCTGTATCACATGTAACAACATTGAAAGGTGTTGAATGTTGAATCTGCATGGAAATTTTTGTACATATATATATATATATAAATTAAATGAAAATATAGATTTTAAATGATTTTTTTTATGTTTTGTTGAAACTAAATGAACTTTTTCAGCTGTCTTTTTTTTTTTTATGAATAAAGATGTTTTTGTGTTTGTTTGTGCATGTATGTATATATATGTAAGTATATATATATATATATATATATGTATATATATGTAAGTATATATATATATATGTATATATATATATATATGTGTGTATATATATATATGTATATAGATATTCACACACATAATATTGATATATTTAAATAAAAAAGATTTTAATTGGATATTGACTTGGTCTATTAATCATTAGCTTTGTGTTTTCCATGTATTAAAACACACATTTTTTTTTCTTATTACCGTCACACAACATTTTAAAAATTTCTTCCTAAACGTTTTTTCATCAGTTGTTGAAGAAAGTTCAGTAGCTGACTACAACTAATTTAATGTAATTGAGGTAAACTAAAGCTATTTTTTTAGAAATTTATTGATAAATCCTCTTAAAAGACTAAAAAGAAATAAAATCATTTTTTACATACATTTCATTCTAATATAATTCTATTATATCTCATTTTTTAAACTATTGATTATTTTTAAACTATTGATGATTAGATGTCATAATTAGTTAATAAGTAGGATATATTACAAATAAAGGTGGCCAAGGATAAACAAAACTGAAGATTAAGTGATTGCGTTGCCACCTTTCTTAAACAAAATTATTGCATGACTAGTCTGCCCTTGGAATTTAAGGAGACATTCATACTGGGTGCTCGCGCAGTTTTGTTTGAACAGTAATTATTAATGGAGCATTCTCACTGCTGCAATCCAATCTTCAGTAAAGCAATTTGTCAAATATTTAGTTGAGCAATTTGTTTTACTTAAAGTTTCTATATATTCTCACGCCGGTCTTTGTCGTCGTATTTCACCTATATGCTTTTCAAGAATAAGAATCCTTAGAAACTGCATATAAGACGAATTGCATGCACAATAGTTGCAGTAAGAACATTCCTTAAAACGCTTTCTCGATCAGGCCTGACATTTATGGTAGATGAATTATTTAAATTTTCTTAAGCCGTGAAAAAGATGTAAACATATTTTTCAAACTGCCAATAAAACATAATACTGAAAATAATGTATGAATATTTTTGAACATAAGAAAACTTTTAGTTAAATTTTTTTCATTACTTTCATATCAATGTGCCTCGTTCCAGCGAAGAAGAATTCTTTGATTTAATTCTGATTTACGCTCAATGTAATAAAGTTTCCCTCTGTTGCAGACATGGAATTTCAGCAAAGGAAGATCACAATCAAGACACTTTGCGCAGCTCATATTTGAAGACTATGGAAGCCTTGGCCAGTGCCGGATTAAGCGTACGCGGAGCCCTAGGCCACTCACATTTTTGGGACCCTTAGATTAAATTTTTTTATCGTATATTTTCCATTTATTCAAATATAAAAGTATTTATTTATCTTTTCATTTAAGAAGACATATTTAAAACTAAAATAAATGATAATAAATTAAATTTTACTTTATTTTGTTAAATTAGAACTAAAAAATAATCATAACATTTTATAATCATTACATGTATATTTGAAAATGTTTCGCTTTTTAATTCATTGTTTTTCTTTACTTTTTAAAATTTATTTTCAAACTATAAGTTTTCAAAATTTATATTCGTTGAACTATAGCTGCTCAATGGGTTATTGGCGGCGGCCTTGGAAGCATCCCTCAGGATGATAAGAAGACATGCCATCAAACCTTTATCCTCTGCAGAGGGGAGGGTGACCCCGCTTCGGTAGTCAAGTGACCTGTGTGCGAAGTCGAGCATTTTACGGTAGAACAATTAATGGAGAACCAATGTTGCACACCCTCGGTCGCATCGCAGGCTGATCAAAGTCCTTACTCACCTCACACTGAACACAGCTAGTGATGCTTGACTTTGTTGATCTGATGGGAACCGTATCGTTACGATCAGTCCTTAGTGGGACCCTTTACCATCAACAAAGTATTCTATAAACGTGTGTTGCCAGACATGGGTGCCAGATTTTGGGCTCAGTATTATAGCCAGGTCACATAAGCAAGAATTTGTTGCCTAAATTAAATTCTTACATCTGTAGATAAATTTTCGGAGCTTTTCGACAAAATAAATACAAGATCACATGGTTTCAATTTGATGGTGCTTCTTCCCAGTAGGCTCTCCAACAAAATTAAAATTAGAAATGCATGCGAGAGCATTTCTCTTGAGAAAATAGTGCGTGCACACAACACTGAAAGACTTTGCTTATGTATTGGAATAAACGGTGGAATTTAGCGAGAGGAATGTTCTATTTTTTAAAAAGACTCGAAAGTTATTAAAGAATAATTAACGTAACAAGGTATTTAGATGTATTTTCTAAGTTAAAATTTCTTTTGAATATGCGTTGTCTACAGATATATAATAATTGTAATGTACATTAGTTCTAAACATAGCCAAATAATAATTTTACTTTATGCTGATTTATTTTATATTAGTTCTTATTCACTGACTTATATGTTGATTGTGAGAATCAAGATATATCGTAATATGTTAATAAATTCTTAATAAAACTCGTAATTTCTTAATAAAAATAGTAGGTACAACTTTCATAATTTTACTTAATGAGTAGTACAATTTTCTTAGTTTAGAAAAAGGAAGATTTGCGAAATAAATGTGTAAATAGATTTTTATTTTTTTGAACAGTTTTTTAAATTGTTTCTTTAGAGCAGGAATTTCCAACTGGCGGCCCGGGGGCCGCATCCGGCCCACGAAGCCTTTTTTTGTGGCCCGCGAACTAAAATATATTAGCTGTCATTTTTTTGCGGACAATTTTCGTTAAAACTCTATATGGGTTTAAAATACTTTTCTCGTTAATAGAAACCTAATTTCTTCCTTTCTGTTAAATTTAACATACCAATGGTGCAAAAAAATTTATTTCTCGGATTTTGCATCTAGGAAAATATTTATTCAAATACAAAAATAATCGTGTATGTTGCTCTTTTTTATTTCATTTTTTTGTATTTTGTGAATATAATTCAGCGTGTGGGTATCAAAAATTTTCTCGAAGAAATTCTCCGAAACTCACTCATTTTGAACTTAAATATTTACACATACATTTGTAAATTTTAAATGTAAATATCTATTCTCTGATGGTTGCAGCAGACAAACCTCAATTTTCTCATTCATTTTGTGTGATACTGTGTAAGTTTTAATACCAACCTTTTTAAAGTTTTATATCTTAACAATTAGATATCTGTTGCACATTAATTGCTTAATACGTAGGTGTGCATTAAAGTTATTGTAGCCGGAATTTTTATTATTTATTTAATATTTTTAGAAATATTATTAGTAACAATTAAGCAGTTTTAAAAATCCGCTTCTTATTTTAATTTTTGTGATTCAATCCTTTTGTTTTGTACAACTTGGTAAAAATCTGACAGTAATATTTAATGTTCCTTGAAACATAAAAGAGTCCTACATAAAATTTTGATAAAGTTGTTGCCCGCCATTAGATTTGTGTTATTAATTGTGGCCCCCGGCCTCATGTAAGTTGGAAACCCCTGCTTTAGAGTATATTAATAAATAGTATTTTTTTAGATGTCAAAATCGACTAATTAAGGGATTAATTATAAAAAGTTTTTTGTCAGAATGAAGAAGTAATATTTATTTTTATTTATTATTAAAAATCTATTTGTTTATAGTTAAGAAAAAAAAGACTAAGTGATTAGAAAATAAGTTTAAAAATTTAGAATATGATATAAAAGTGTTCGTTATTTTTTTTAAACTGGGATTTTTAGCAGAAATAACTTCAATATTTCCTACTTCAGGGCATCGGTAAAATGCCCTTTACAAGAATAATAAAATAGTATTTTTACTTAACTGTGATTTCAGTGTCTTAATTTTTTTTATTTTCTTTTTTTATGAGAAATGAACGTATTTAACTTATAACTTAAATTTTATTTTTCAGTAGAGCAATTTTCACAATAACACACATATTGTTATATGAAAATTTTATTAAATATTTCAACGGAAAAAAAAGTAAATTGAAGTAAAAGTAATTGAAGAAGTGAAGTTTTACTATTTCTTTCAAATTTTTGAGAAATTGCTAACTATCAACCATTAACTACGAAATAAACTTTGCAAATTAAATATTAATTTTAACTATTTTATTTCTATCAATGTATTTCACTCATACATTTTTTAATGCAAATAGTTTAAGATAATTTCAACCAAATAAAAAAAAATTTATAATGCAATCCATTTAAGAGGTGCTTACATTTCAAAAACTTTCATTCTCAGCATTTCACTTTTAAACTTTTCATATGTTTAGTCCTACTTCAACTCCGTATCCTTGTTATTTTGAACCCAATCCAGGAGACAAAGGAACCAAGTGTTGGCCTTCGTGGAGAACTTTTCGATGGAACTAACCGTATTTGCGTTACAAGGAGAGGAAAACCACGAAACCTTCTCCCGGTGAGCCTGGCGGTAAGGGGGCACTAACCCTTGATTTGTCTACCTCTGAGGATGTTTTATTCCGCTGAGGATATTGCACAGTGGCAAATGGTTTGAAAAATATATTTCATTTCAACCATGTTTCTATAACCCTTAGATGTTTCTATATGGGTTTAAAGTTCTTTTCTTCGTTAAAAAAAACTAATTTCCTCGTTTCTGTGAAATTTAACATACCAATGATGCAAAAAGAAAAAAGAAATATTTCTCAAGAAAAAATCTACTTTTTTTTTTAATTTGTATTCAATACTTTTGTTTTGAACTTGGTAAAAATCTGACAGTAATATTTAATGTTCCTTCTGACATAAAAGTCCTACATAAAATCTTGATAAAGTTGCGGCCAGCTATTTGACTGGTCTTTTTAATTGTGGCCCCCGGCCTCATGTAAGTTGGAAACCCATGCCTTCGATCAACAGGTATCACTGCATAGTTTTGGACATCCCATGTATAGAAAACTTAAAGCTTAATTTGATTAAAAATTTAAATATTTAACCACAATTTTTTTTAAAATTTATTACTTTAATTTAGCTATTTTTTGATATAATTAAAGATAATAGTTTTTAAAAATATTAAGACATATACATTAAGATATATATTATCCAAAAACTNTAAAATTAACTAGAAAAATCGCTAGCAGGAAGAGTAAAAATAGATTTTAAAAATAAAAATTTTTACTTGTAAATGTACCATGCAATTAAAATCTTCAAACAAGTAATATTTTTAAAAAATAAATTATATTTTAAAATAAAGAATTTCTTTTAAGATGAATGTAAATATAGAAAATAATGTTTTTTTTTAAAAAAAATAACGTTTTTAAAAACAATTAAATATTTTAAAAACAAAGAATTTTTTTTAAAAATAAATAACATTCATCAAAATAAGAATTTTTTATAAATGTTTTGATCTTCTTAAAAAAAAGCAATATTTAAAAAAATAATTATATAATAATAATAATAATTCTAATATCATTATAAAATAATAATCTATTATAATAAAATAATAATAATTAATAATAATATAATAATAATTCCTCTCAACCAATAATGGAAATAAATAATGATTTTAAAAAAAATAATTTAGATTTCTTAAAAATAAAATTTCCTTAAAAATATAAATAATGTTATTAAAAATAAAAATTCCTCCTATAAGAATACTTATGTTATTAAAAACAAGAAATTCCTATAAATTTCTTTTTAAAGAACGAGTTTTTATTTTTAAAAATAAAATTAAAAGAAGCATGTCTCTAACTTCTTGATTGTTGAAAACATAATTCTGTTAGTTCCCCTTTCAGTTTCAAACAAATAGTGCACGATCTTACGGAAAAGGTTACAAGCGCACCTCCCAAATATGAGTAAGAGCGCCATGCTCTTCCTCGCTATATCTTCTGCTCTCTAAACTTCATCGGTAATAAATATTTGGTGTAAACGCGGCAATAATCGCGCCAAACTAGTTTACCGGCTAAGCAGTGAAGAATCACCTGAGGCTTTGAGTCGATGGGGAGGGAAAATGAAAACCTGACCCGAGGATGAAACAACTACGACACCCTCTTGGACTGGTTTCGGCGAAAGAAAAGGAGACCTCTTCATCGAAGCCACCCTCCCTAAAATGCCCTCTTCTTGTTTCCATAGCACCAGACTGCCGCAGACTCAGTGGCTGTCAGAGTACCTATCTTAGACAAACAGTAAAAAAGAGATGATGCAATTCGACTTGGTTACGTCACATTAAGCATTATTGCAAATGTTTCTGGTGGTATACCATATTTTCCAAATGCTAGAAAATCGTTATTTATTTTAAAAAATTTACTGTCTACTTAAAAATTGTTACTTATAACTATGAACCATTATGCTTAGAAATGATCAACTTTGACGTCATCAGAACACTTTTCTGGAAGTTTCTCCTGGCGTTAAGGGCACTAGCGCTTACTTGCAACATTTAAAGAAAACAGATTTTCGATACAGTAAATTTAAATTATATTTTCAGCATAAATAAAATAAAAAATTCTTTGTGATTTATTTAAAAACTTTTTTCTTTGTAAAATTCTTTGTTTTGACTTTTTATGTTTCATTTCAATAAAAAGTATTGAATTAAGATTTCTTAACCTGGTGTTTTGAAATTTTTTCATACTGTAAATTCCAAATCTTTTACTTTAGGTTTTAGTTACATAAGTTCAGACAGGTAAAAAGCGCTTCTTTTATATGTTTATTTACTCCTATTTCTATTCTGTCTATTCTTCTCTACAATAAACAGAGGGAAGAAAAAAATCTATATTAATAACGCTTTTCCATATTTCTTCATTTTTTTTAAAAAAAAAAAGATTAATAGTTCATGTTAAAGTTATCACGTAATACATTCAATATTGAAATAAATATAAGAAGAAAAATGATGAGAAATTAAAAATAGTACTTAAAATAAATCCCAATTTACTTTACAAAATGTTCTTCGATCTTCAAAAACACACGACAACGTTAAAGGATTAAATTCTAATCATTTCATAGAACTTAAATAAAACAAATAATCATTTGTTCGACGGATAAAGGTGTGCTAATGAGACACCGAAACCTGTATAAGTTTTAATAAATATTTTACCATTTGTAACTTTTTAAACGATGTTTTTAATGAAATTTAATTCTCATTACTTCTGATTATATTTCATAATAATTATTAGGCGAAAAAAGGTTGATGTTACCCATGCCCATTCCTATTAATCATTTTTAAACTATTACATAAAAACATTTGACCGTGAAGACCTATCACATAAACTGCTTATTGTTTTTACTGATAAAGAAAAGACTTGGCCACTTTATATTCTGTTAAGATCCTACGTCCAATATATTGGACAACATTTCGTATAATTTTATAAGTTAAGGAACAACATATTTTATGACTTTTTTCTGTCTGTATGCCTTTACAAAGCTATTGTCCATGTAAAACTATAGTTTATTTTATTCTCGTAAAAACATAGTTTATTTATTTTATTCGCTAAAATGTTAAGAAATACGCAGTTTCGTAAAGTTTCAATATGTGAAAAAAATTATAATTTACCATTCTTTTCGAAAAAAAAAACTTAATAGTAATTAAGCTTTAATTGAAATTTTTTATTGTTTATCATATTTACGAAAATACCTTCTTCTACGCTACTCATCTCAAAATAAGAATCCCTTTTTAAAGTTCGAATCTTAGGAGGATATATATTTCAAATCGAAATTCAACAGAATTGGAAATTATTCTTTAAGTAGTTTTCATTGTAATGTAAGAGGTTTACCACACGTTAACAGATACAATTTAGTTATACATACGGCTTTTTGAAAAAATACCAACTGAATACCAAATGCTTGGCAACATCTTAATCAGATAATTTTTTAGAATTCATTCAAACTCAAGTTACTCAGATTATTTAGATTTATTAAATCGAGATTATCCTTTTTTAGTATTCTTCAAGCAAATAAAATAAAATAGATCTCTAAAAATAATAATTTTAAGAAATCTGTGTCTGAAATCTGAATTTCTGTGTAGTAGCCCAGTTGCTGTAAAGTGTTTAGCATTTAACTACTAAAGCTAGTCTAGTAAGGCTTGCTTGGGCCGAGGTTCGATTTCCTATGCTAAAAACTGGATGCCCAATTACACTGAATTTTGTCTGATTGAGTCTTGGTGAATTCAGAATTAATACTGGCATAATATTCCCAATGATCAGAAAAATCTACGCATATTTCGGCAGTTGGGGAGTGTGATGCAGATGCCGGTTGAAATCTACCACCATCTGTGATCTAAATAGTAATAGTGTAGCGTGCGCTTGCAGCAAGTTGTCTTCGGATCATCATTAAGTATAAATTTCAAACGGTCGCCAAGAGTAGCTCTAATGCCACGTCGACAACCAAAGCAAACTATTCGGTGTCGGATAATTTCATTACAGATAGTATAAAGGAATAATTAGCTCACCTTGAAGGATCTATTAGAGCCTCGAATTCTGAGAATGTGCGCTTCAACTTGCTGGGAAGTTTTTCCCATGTCTGAGTCATCCTGCTGACGGCGACATTACTCAGTCCCATCACAATTGCAAAAAAGCTGTTCATATTTTGATGCTCTCTGCAACTGTTTCAAAAATATATAACTAAATAAATAAAATAATCGAATACATTATTACAATAAAATTATTTATTTCGAATGTTTCAAACGGTAATCCCTGCTTTTTTTTTAAATTAAAATGCAAAACCGCACTGTAAAAAAAGAAGAAAAAAAGAAAAAGAAATTAGAGCGATATTTAAAATTAAAGTCTTGGCAAGCAATCTGTAAAGAAAACAAACTGTACAATTCAATTCAACGCACTTCCTCTCCGTTCACACCATAGAGCACGCTTAATGGACACACCGAGAACTTATCGAAAGCAAATATCTCCGTCTAGCGCAGCTGTTTCCTTGCCAAAAGTATCAATCCAACTCCATTTAACGTTTTTACTCCGAGGATCACGTTTATAAAAAATAACAGAGATTTATTTTTGGAAAGGTTCAAATTCAGTCACAGAAACTGATTAAACTGTATAATAGTTTTAAACATTATTTCGAGCACAGTATTTTAAAGCAATATTTTATTTTGTTAACTCGCTCGGTATACTCGTTAAGGAGTCGCAAAAATTTTAAACAATAATAGAGAGCAAAATCAATAAAAGATCATTTGAATTATTTTTTTAATTACCTGTCTCACAAAAAAAGGAAGTAGAAAGAATAAATTTGATCTTACGCTGTATTTTAATTATTTTATACTTATTATTTTCAAGACGCACATTAAAGTCTAAAATATCTTGTTACTGTAATTGTGTTGAATAGCAGTGTATTTTTATTCGCATTAGTTAATCCATAGAAAATAAAATGAGGCTTACTGTGCTGCAATCTTGATAAATTTTCTTAGTAGAGCAACTCTCCTGCTGAGGTTATTGCAAAGAACCATTTCAGTAACTACCCAATGTTGAATCTCATTGAATCTTCTTAGAAACACATCCAGATTCGACATGATTTTACGAAACTGATGACGTCCAAATACTTGGTAGATCAATTCATACTAGAAAGGAGTTTATATAAAGATTGAACAATTAAAAAAAAAATTAGGAAAAATATTATGTAAGAATCTGAGCCTCTCTTAACAAAGAAGATACTATAGAATGTGTCACTCGCAATTCAAGCTGAATTCTATTTTTTATGTATAGTTAGTATTTCGAAATTATAAAAACTTATAATATTCATTCCTAACATAACATTTATAAGATTTCGTTAAAAAAATAGGTTTAGGCAAGAAAAAATTGTGATAGTCGCAAAATTTTTTCCCAAATGCGCGATAAATATTACAGTTTAAAAAAAGAGAGAAGTTAGTACTATAAAAAATATTTTCTAACGATTTCACATATGATTTTGCAATTTCGCTCAGCTAACAAATACTTCTAATCGCAAAAGAATACATGTAAAATTCAGAATTCTGCAGGACCTTTCGAATGTTTTACTCAAAACATTTTATTTTATTTATTTAAACAATAAAAAATAAAATCATTAAATAAAATAAAATCATTTGAATTTTACCTTTCTAAACACAAAACACAAAATCCTTTGCTGAACTATATACGGCACTTTCGTTTATTAGGTCCAATACCGAGCATAGGATAGCTAATTTATTATTTGTAACACGTGTATTTTCGTCATATTTGCAATTAATTTAATTTAATTAATTAATTTTTATAATTATTCTATATAATTATACCTAGCGCGAAGTTAACTTGATATACTTACAGATCTTTAAATTTTTTCTTTAATCAGAAATTTTAATCCTTAATTAACCGACAACAAAACTTTTTCTCTGCCAAAAACTAGGTGAAGTATTCAAGGTAAAAACTATAATTTTTGATAATTCATAGCTTAATAATTAATCACTTCAAAATGGAAAAATATTTTTTTTTAATTTTATTTCAGAACCTAATGTAAATTGAAAAATTAGACAAACATAGGGAAAAAATTCCTCATGGAAGTTTTAGGGTTTAGTCGATTCGCTTCAGTTTTACTAAAAAAGAGTAAAAAGCCCTTTAGCAATCAACTTCCATTAGTTACTCATCAAGTTCTTTTTTCTTCTTGTTTTGATAAAATCAACTCAATCTTTAAAAATGTTTTTGGGTTGTTTTGATAACTTACCCTAAATTTATTTTATCGATTTTCGAAATTATGTTTTAAAGTCACATGCATTAAAATGCATAAAAATCGCATTAAATTCTTATTTTACCTGTATTAAATTAACTTTAACTATCACAAGACACCTTTTCAATAAAGTTGGATAATAGTTCTGAAGCAAAACCTTTAATCAATTTATTTAAAGCGCAAAAGTGCTTAAAAAGTATGTTTTTTCGTCAATAAAATGTACTAAAGAAATAAATCGATATTTAATTTAAAAGCATTTTTTAAGCATTTGACAATAGCTATTTTGCGCGAGATAGAATGAATTTTAAATAATAAAATAGTGAAAAGAAATGCGAAGTTAGCACAAACGATTTTTCGAGTATGCTTAAAGAACGATAGTAATTAATCCACACAATTTTATAAGGAGTTTAGTACATTAGAAATATTTATTATAAGGAAAAATCTCATATCAGAATATTTCAAATTCAGGTAACATGTAATAAATATAGCAGGTGGTGATAAATCACAACTTACGTAATTCAAAATTAGATTTCGTATAAATAATTCCCCAATATTTTTATAGTAGAGAAAATATCTTCGGTTATATTTTAGTGTTTTGTTCTAAAAGTTAACTAAATTGTAATAAAAAAAGTGATATTTACAAATTGCTATCGATCATAAGAAAATTGTCGAAAATCATAGCTCTAAAATTTTTTATATACCTACTGCTGCCCTCTAGAAGCCGAATCGCAAAACGAAGTGCTTTATTTGTTTGCTAATTTATTTTCATCCTAGTTAGACTGAATATAACAAATATAACAATTACCGAATATACAAGAATTAAAATGGAAATAATAAAATAATCAATATCACTATAAACTCTCCCATTCGTAACCCACGAAATTTTGAATTTTGACCGCGTACGTATGTCTTTTAAGCGAGATTGTATGACTAAGTTTTTATAATAAAGAATTTTAGATAGTGCTGCCATCTAGGAGATTATTTAAAACATTTTACCTGTTCATCGAAAGTAGAAAATATGTATACTATCCAATATTGTCTTGTAAATTAAAAAAAATAAAATAACAATTTCCTACGTAAAACAGGAAAAATATTGACTTTTTCTTTAAAAGTTTATGCACTCTGTATGAAAGATAAAACTCAGAAAAACATTGTAACTAAAAATATTATGACTCAATAGCGAAAACGCTAGAATGTAGTTTTAATATGACTTACTTCATGAACACAAGAGAAAAGATCCCATTCATAGATAGTCATACCATAAGCAATGTCTAAGGAGTTAAGAGTTTCTAAGATGGCCCCTGTACCGTCTTGTGGCCCCTCTTGTTCAGGTAAAGGTGTCTATAATAAATTTGGTAGCATGTAATCTCAATGAAATAAAAATAGATCAAAAAATAGTGTGAACAAACACAACCATAGAAATGCTGATATAAGATAAATAACAATATTGAGTCAAGCTGAGTATGAATGATCTCACACAAATAATATGGTAGTGTAAAAATAAATCAAATTATTGCATCATTAATAATTTTATGCATAGCTTTTATAGTTATAGCTCTTAAAATTACAAATTATTTTAACTCAGGCAAAAAACTGCACAATACTGATTTGTATTTGTTATTATTATTTAAAAAAAACTTCTTGAAAACTTTTCCAGTTCTTTTACGACTTTCATTATTATTATTATTATACAAAATATTATTGAAAAATTGTGATTTTGACATTAATAAAGAGTTTTGTACACTTTTTAATAACAAATTCGCAATAGAAATCCTAAAATGGTTTCATACATATAAGAAATGAAATGTTCATAACAGAAACACATGAATGAACACTTGAATTTATTCCCTTTAACCCTATGAAGCAGAATTTTTATTAAACAATTTTTTGGTATTTTTAATAATTTCTGTTAAAATAAGTGAATAATATTATAATTAGCATTATAATATTTAATGTTTATGAAATTTAATATGAAACACCGGTGCTTTTTTCTGCGTTGAAGATAAAATATCTGAAACACTACTCACTTCTAAAGGACAATTTTTCTAATCTGTTCTATTTGCAGTTACTTAGATCTAAGAGAAATAGTTACTCATCATTAAAATTCCTCAACATTGACAGCCAAAATCATAAAAAAAATATTTAAAAATGAATTCTAGAGTAAAATGCTTTTCTTCTTTAAATACCTCTCCCCTCGTTTCATTTGCTAATAATTTCTTATTCAATAACTTATTCAGATTTTTAACCAATTAAACAAAAAAAAACTGAACAGGATGTCTAATATTATTGTAGTTTGCCTCGCACGTAGGCTCATTATCTCTCGTAATTATTTTTTGCGAATTGGCGTCGCATTGAATGAAAAATTTCTTTAGAATAAGCTCTTATCTCTCAATCAAAAATATTAAACGCAATAAAATGACAAAGTGTAATAGAAATTACATTTATAACATACTGTTCAATTTTAAGCCAAATAAAATGGACGCTTTTGCGCTGTCGAGTTACGTTCATTTAAAAAA